GAAAATGTGACACTGTTATATAACAGTGACATTCACATTACATCATTGTGAACTGTTCCTTTCCTACAGGCTCAAGCCTCCCTCCAGTCTCCCTCCATCCTCTCTTTCTCTCGCTCACTCATTGTTAGCCAGCTGACAGGTGGAGAGAAAGACAAAGGCCAGACTTTTCCTGATATGGTGACAAAGTGCTACTGCCATTGGTTCAATTCACACGTAACACACCATTAGATAAACATACTACTACTCCATAAATAAGGTTGCAGAACATTGCCAAACTACCCAATCTGTAAGACATGTTATATTTAATGAATTGACTTTAGTTTTGTGACACAGAGGTATGTCGTATGCTGTAAAGGTATACGACGTATCAGTATGCCGAAGTTAGTATAGGTCAGTAGACTTCAATGGCTTGATGGGGCCACCATGTGGTAGAATGAACTAAATACAGTCCAGCACTTCTTCTAATAATGGCTGGAGTGGAGTGAATGGAATGGTATCAAACACATGGAAACATGTTTGATACCATTCCATTTATTCCATTCCAGCAATTACTTTGAGCCCGTCCTCCCCAATTATGGTGCCACCGGCCGCCTGCGATTCTGATTAGACCGTTGGTGCTCGCTGAGACCTTGCTTCTGCACGGTGAACTGGTGACAGTTGATGTGACGGAACTCAGACCAAAACAGGTCAAATAGGCCAAAGAAGGACATGACCAGAGCCCACTCAGAAATGGCCGCTCCAGAGCGGAAGCGCAAATGAGAGAGAACACTAAGGAGGGAAAGGGCAGTCAAGGAGAAGACATTGGTTTTTGCGTTGACAGTACAGCTACATGATCTTCCTCATTCTGTAGAAACAGATTCTGATTTGATGGTGCTGCCATGGAATCATACACACTTCACCATACAAAACAGCTAGGCAACAGTATACTTATCTCAACAAAGTAAACATTCCAGAAACCATATAACTCAGCCAGACTGCAAAAACAAGGGAGTCAAAAATCAAATCAAATCAAATTGTGAAATGCTTACTTACAAGCCCTTAACCAACAAGGCAGTTTTAAGAAACATAAGAGTTAAGAAAATATTTACTAAATAAACTAAATACAAAACATTTTAAATAAAAGAGCAACAATAAAATAACAATTACGAGGCTATATACAGGGGGAACTGGTACCGAGTCAATGTACAGGGGTACAGGTTAGTCGAGGTAATTGAGGTAATATGTACATGTAGGTAGGGGTAAAGTGACTATGCATAGATAATAAACAGCGAGTAGCAGCAAGCTGTTAAGAAGCCTTTTGGACCTAGACTTGGCGCTCCGGTACCGCTTGCTGTGTGGTAGCAGAGATAACAGTCTATGACTAGGGTGGCTGGAGTCTTTGGCAATATTTAGGGCCTTCGTCTGACACCACCTGGTATAGAGGTCCTGGGTGGAAGCTTGGCCCCAGTGATGTACTGGGCCATACACACTACTCTCTGTAGCGCCTTGAGGTCGGAGGCCGAGCAGTTGCCATACCAGGCGGTAATGCAACCAGTCAGGATGCTCTCGATGGTGCAGCTGTATAACTTTTTGAGGATCTGAGGACCCATGCCAAATCTTTTCAGTCTCCTGAGGGGGAATAGGCGTTGTCGTGCCCTCTTCATGACTGTCTTGGTGTGTTTGGACCATGATAGTTTGTTGGTGATGTGGACACCAAGGAACTTGAACCTCTCAACCTGCTCCACTACAGCCCCATCGATGAGAATGGGGGCGTGCTCAGACCTCCTTTTTCTGTAGTCCACAATCCTCCTTTGTCTTGATCACGTTGAGGGAGAGGTTGTTGTCGTGGCACCGCACTGCCAGGTCTCTGAACTCCTCCATATAGGCTGTCTCATCGTTGTCGGTGATCAGGCTTACCACCGTTGTGTCGTCGGCAAACTTAATGATGGTGTTGGAGACGTGCTTGGCCATGCAGTCATGGGTGAATAGGGAGTACAGGAGGCGACTAAGCACGCACCCCTGAGGGGCCCCCGTGATGAGGATCAGTGTGGCAGATATGTTGTTGCCTACCCTTACCATCTGGGGGCGGCCCGTCAGGAAGTTCAGGATCCAGTTGCAGAGGGAGGTGTTTAGTCCCAGGGTCCTTAGCTTAGTGATGAGCTTTAAGGGCACTATGGTGTTGAATGATGAGCTGTAGTCAATGAACAGCATTCTCACATAGGTGTTCCTTTTGTCCAGGTGGGAAAGGGCAGTGTGGAGTGCAATTGAGATTGTGTCATCTGGGGATATATTGGGGCGGTATGCCAATTGGAGTGGGTCTCGTGTTTCCGGGATGATTGCATTGATGTGATACTGACGTGAGTGCTACAAGGCGGTAGTCATTTAGGCAGGTTACCTTCGCTTTCTTGGGCACACGGACTATGGTGGTCTGCTTGTAACATGTAGGTGCTACAGACTCGGCCAGGGGCAGTGATTATATAGCAGAGATAGTTCAAGGCTGAGCTGGTTAAGGATATTGGTGATGACCAGGACGGTGCAGATGCTACAGAGAGCAGCTCTGAGAGGCCCCAACCAGCGACGGTCTTTAGAGGGCTGGACTTTATAGGTGAGACACACCTGCAACCAGTAGGCCAGGCCAGCCAGAAAAGCCCTGAACACATTGATGCCAAACAACACAGATTGTTGAAAGAGGGGGATGGAGTCCGAGTCAAGTCACAAGTCTATATTTTTGCACCTTAAAGGGGAAGTTCAGTATTCACATCCCTCTAATTACCAGGTGAACTGGTGAATTGCTTTGAATTGGTTTACAACTAGATGGCCTGACTCAAGTACCCAACTCTGGAGACCAACAGCAGATGCCCAGTAGGATACTGCCGATGTTCAACTTGCTGTTCTGAACATAGTCCCTGACCCCTGACCTGCTGAAACCAGAGAGCTGAGTGAGAGAGAGGGGGGAATGGTGTGTGTGTGTGTGTGTGTGTGTGTGTGTGTGTAAGAGAGAGAGAGAGAGGCGAGAGAGAGAGAGGCGAGAGAGAGAGAGAGAGAGAGAGAGAGAGAGAGAGAGAGAGAGAGAGAGAGAGAGAGAGAGAAGAGAGAGAGAGAGAGAGAGAGAGAGAGAGAGAGAGAGAGAGAGAGAGAGAGAGAGAGAGTCGAGAGTCGAGAGAGAGAGAGTCGAGAGAGAGAGAGAGACATACAGACAGACAGAGAATGGGATAGAAGAGGGTAGGGAAAGGAGGATAGAAGAGAGAAGGCTATTGCATAACAAAGACAGAAAATAATGCTGAGTATAGTGATTTGAACCAACCCTAAAAGTGCTGAATAAATCCACTCACCCAAGACAGCACAAATGTTGCAGACCTGGGAAAAGATACAGCTCTGTGGATCATAGGTGCTGCGATAGCATTATACTGTAGGAGCACACTGTACATTACACTGCAGTGGGGAAATTTAGGAAATAGTTGAGGAAATAGTTGAGGAAATAGTTGATGAATCTATTAGGGAAAATACTGCACCAGTTTAACTGGTCTGTGGTGGTGCCGGTCCTGGATGCTGTTGATTAAGATTAAGATTACTTCATTCGCCAATTGAACACAATGTCCAACCAAAATGTAACTTCTGCTTTATCCCAACCCCTCCAAAACACACACATACATATGCAGGTTGGAGCAGGGGGCTGCCACACTTGGCACCTATGGAACAGTTGCTGTGGGGGGTTATGTGCCTTGCTCAAGTGCACAACGGCAGGCAATGGCATCTAGGATTGGATAGTAGCAACCCTCCAGTTTCCAGCTCACTTCCCACCAGACCCGGATTCCAACTGGCAACCCTCCGGTTGCTGACACGCCTCTCTAACCGCTAGGTTACCTGCCGCACTGTCGATTTAATAACTTTCCAGATGTAATTTATTTCATGATGACAAACAGCGACAAATGACCACAAAAGCTTGTTCTAGCTGAGGTATCACTACTTGGTACACCACATCAAATAACAAGATAAAAAATATAAGTATTGCCACTGTACCTTTCCGCTCTATGCCCAGTCATACAATTCATAAACTTAGTCTCCACTTAAGCTGGATGCATGTGTGGTAACATGATTTGTGTCCTGTAGGTCTGCCTAACTCTGGAGTCGTTAAACCCTTTACAGTGTTGTAAAGACCAGTGTGACTCTTACCTGATGTAGGTGAATCTCTCTGTGATATTAAAAGTCTCAGCAATACCTGGCAAGGACAAGAACTGTGTTTAGTACTTCAATACTTCAGTGAAACTAAAACCTTCTTCAGAACACACTGTGGAGTTTGACACACTAACAAAATTGAGTTATTCAGTTCATGTGTTTTGTTTCTCGCTCTCAGAACGTACATTTTCTGTGTCTGTTACTTGCACCAATAGTACTTTTTTATTATAGACACTATTTCATTGTACATTAGCTTGAGATCTCAGTGACCACAGCAAACCAGCCCGTCAGATACTCGCACCGTCCATACGCCCACAGTGCCAAACACCGCCAAGCCGATCGGAAGCAGTGCACAGGACCACATTATGATCCATTTAGGTCACCTGGGATAGATGAAACTAGACAACCAGGTGTCATTAAATGATCCTCTTTGCTCTTCTAATGATTATCAAATCATATATAGACACAAGCTACGGACTAAATATGTCATATGTTCTCTACTCTGTTTTGGAACATAGAGAGGGCACTGCGTTCATCCACCTCTGGCCTGCTGGCTCCCCTACCTCTGCGGAAGCATAGTTCCCGCTCAGCCCAGTCAAAACTGTTCGCTGCTCTGGCACCCCAATGGTGGAACAAGCTCCCTCACGACGCCAGGACAGCGGAGTCACTCACCACCTTCCGGAGACATTTGAAACCCCACCTCTTTAAGGAATACCTGGGATAGGATAAAATAATCATTCTACCCCCCGCCCTTACTCCAAAAGATGAACAAAGATCAGAAAAATCTATATATATTTCCCATAAACTCAACAGAAGCCAAACAAAAAGAGGTTTAGCTAAGCAGATGCCGCATCAAAAAAAAGTAGTATTTTATTCAACAATAGGTTTAAAATATGTACACTTATGTAGAGCTTCATCAGTCAGAGCTTCATCAGTCAGAGCTTGAACGTTCAATTATTATATCATTATTACATTACTGTTCTGTTGGCTGTTCTATTGTTCATTATGATCCCACCGCTGTTGATGCTCTGGGTCTTGCTGAGGCCTTGGTTCTGCACGGTGAGCTGGTGACAGTTGATGTGACGGAACTCGGATGCAAAGACACCAAATAGGACAAAGAAGCACATGACCAGAGCCCACTCAGAAATGGACGCCATTGAGCTGTAGCCAGTATCAAAGAGTAGACCTATGGCCACTGAGAAGGAAAGGGGAGTCAAAGAGCACAACCCAAACAGGTGACCTTAATGTCTAAAATATCGTCGTTTTTAGGAAGGACATACAGTTTAGGATATCATTTTTTATGTGCAATGTTTTCACTGTATATTCAGGTAAAGAAGCATGATTTTGGATTATTGTTTTTTTTATCATTTACAATTAGCTGTGTTGATCCTGGATTGTCATTTAGTTGTGTTGATCCTGGATCATCATTAAGCTGTGTTGATCCTGGATCACCATTCAGCTGTGTTGATCTTGGATCGTCGAGCACTCCCCTTGTGCTCTCCCCTCTTTCTGATTTCAGCTGATAGATCTGGTGTTAAAGGATACTTGTGATGACCAAGATGGTGCAGATGCTACAGAGGGCAGCTCTGAGAGGCCCCACCCAACGACGGTCTTTAGAGGGCTGGACTTTATAGGTGAGCCACACCTGCAACCAGAAGTAGGCCAGGCCCACAAAGAAGGCCAGAAAAGCCCCGAACACATGGATGCCAAACAACACAGATTGCTGAAAGAGATTGATGGAGAGAGGAATGGTGGTGAGAGGGAAAGAGCGAGGTAGGATATTGTCAAAAATATATCAGGGTATATCAATATGTCATCTTTTTATGGGAACATGCTAGGATAGTTATATTATCCTATTGTAATCGTAAAGCGATACCCGGAAGCTGCTGAGGATGGAGATGCCCAGAGATGAGATGCAGCCCAGTACAATGCTGGCGAAGTTCACCTTGCTGTTCTGACCATAGTCCCTGACCTGCTGAAACCGGATCACCACGATCCACAGGACTGACAGACAGAGATAGGGGGAGAGAGAGAGAGAGAGAGAGAGAGAGAGAGAGAGAGAGAGAGAGAGAGAGAGAGAGAGAGAGAGAGAGGGGGGGGGGGGGGGGGTGTAGAGAAGGGTGGAGTGGGGAGGATATAAGGAAGAAGAAGGTTGAGGTTACGAAAGACAAGAATAATAAAGTGGTATGAACCAACCTGTAAGTGCTGAACAAATTCACTTACTCAAGACAGCACAGATGTTGCAGACCTGGGAAAAGATACAGCTCTGTGGATCATAGGTGCCGCATTCACTAGAAGACATATTCACATTTTAATTCTTTACAAACTAGAAATGACTTGGTAATGAAACATTGACTTTAAAACAAAGAGCCACCAGTGTGTGCATGGTATTGTGGTGTTGTGGGCTCATTAACATTTCCTGTTTTGTTAGTGGTTATACCAGTTTAACTGGTCTGTGGTAGTGCCTCTATTGACATAGTCCAAACACACAGTGAAATTCAGGGTAAACCCTTTACAGTGTTGTAAAGACCAGCGTCACTCTTACCTGATGTAGGGGAATCTCACTGTGATATTAACAGTCTCATTTGAAACAGCGATACCAAACCTGGGAAGAACAAGAACTGTCGTTAGTATATCAATACTTCAGTGATTATTTTCTTGCTCTCATGACATACATGTTCTGTTTGTTATTTGCACTGATAATACGTTTCTTATCATCAACACCATCTCATTGTACCGTAGCATAAGACCACACTATTATTCTATCCAGACAAGTAGCTGGAGAGCAGACCAGTCTGTTAGATACTCACACCACCCATATTCCCACAGTGCCAAACACCGCCAAGCAGATTGGAAGCAGCGCCCAGAGCCACATTATTGTTTACTTAGGTCACCTGGGAAAGATGCAAGGAGACAAATGAGACACCCAGATACACTTTAACCCAATTTCAATAAAAAGGGACAAAGATCCTCAACTGAGGAACTCAGGAATCCATAAAAACATCTTACCCCAGGACACTTCACATGGTGAATATCCCAGAAAAAGAAAAAGGAACACAGATGTCTGCAATGATCTTTGAGGTTTATCGACGGGACAAACAAACCGGCTTGCATTCAGGCATGTCAGACACCTTCCTCAGAGCCTTAGACAGGAAACTGTCAGAGGCACCTATAGCCTGGTAACAGAGTGTCCCAAGAATAGTCAAACAAACAAAGGTTAATCATTGTATGTTGAAGTGAGCATAGGCTTGATGTTGCCACCATGTGGTAGAATTGACTAAGTGCAGTACAGCACCTCTGCAGCACCTTCACACAGACATTCCTGTAACAGTGAAAGCAATACCATGTGTCAACCAACAGAGGGACGAAACACAGCATCCATCACTGCTGCAGTCAAAACATTGAGGACATATTCTCCCCTTTCAACAGAAACAAAGAGGTATGCTCTAGGTGAATAGATGCTGCAGATGACTTACCCTGAAGCAAATCTTGACCTGTATTTTCTGCAATAACGCTCAGGGGTGACTGAGACATCATGTAGCATGATGTCTTTCTAATGCAGTGTGAAACAGTCAGTCTTCACCTTCAGCTCGATAGCCTGGCTAAATGGACTGACAAAACAGAGCCTGAAGAAACTGCAGCGTTCTCCTTGGCAGGCAGCCAATCTGTCTTTGCTGATGCAACAGCGGAGGACCGGGTGTCTATTCAGGAGAGTGCAACGTTAAAGGACGTTCAGATAGAAATGTGTTATGTAGAACAGCTATACTTATCTTTCACGTAGAATTCACGTAGAACTGGGTGTCATGCCACATCTATAAATTGTTTTTCTATCTGCATCGTTCTTAATGTTTTACCTCTCTGAATACACCCCTGGTGGCTGTGTGAGAGGGTAGTTCTGGAGAAAATGAGGGGCAGCACAGCTAATGACAGCCACCCTCTGCACACAGCACTCACCTAGAGCAAATCAGGAAGGGGTGAGTTTCCCAAATAAATTCTTTATGTTTTTGGGAAAGCCACACCCAATGCTGCTTGTCCTAAATTCTTGGACACACAGTGCTACAGTGGGGGGAAAAAGTATTTAGTCAGCCACCAATTGTGCAAGTTCTCCCACTTAAAAATATGAGAGAGGCCTGTAATTTTCATCATAGGTACACGTCAACTATGACAGACAAAATGAGGAAAAAAAATCCAGAAAATCACATTGTAGGATTTTTAATGAATTTATTTGCAAATTATGGTGGAAAATAAGTATTTGGTCACCTACAAACAAGCAAGATTTCTGGCTCTCACAGACCTGTAACTTCTTCTTTAAGAGGCTTGTTATATACCCTTTGTTGGCAATGACACAGGTCAAACGTTTTCTGTAAGTCTTCACAAGGTTTTCACACACTGTTGCAGGTATTTTGGCCCATTCCTCCATGCAGATCTCCTCTAGAGCAGTGATGTTTTGGGGCTGTTGCTGGGCAACACGGACTTTCAACTCCCTCCAAAGATTTTCTATGGGGTTGTGATCTGGAGACTGGCTAGGCCATTCCAGGACCTTGAAATGCTTCTTACGAAGCCACTCCTTCGTTGCCCGGGCGGTGTGTTTGGGATCATTGTCATGCTGAAAGACCCAGCCACTTTTCATCTTCAATGCCCTTGCTTATGGAAGGAGGTTTTCACTCAAAATCTCACGATACATGGCCCCATTCATTCTTTCCTTTACACAGATCAGTCGTCCTGGTCCCTTTGCAGAAAAACAGCCCCAAAGCATGATGTTTCCACCCCCATGCTTCACAGTAGGTATGGTGTTCTTTGGATGCAACTCAGCATTCTTTGTCCTCCAAACACGACGAGTTGAGTTTTTACCAAAAAGTTCTATTTTGGTTTCATCTGACCATATGACATTCTCCCAATCCTCTTCTGGATCATCCAAATGCACTCTAGCAAACTTCAGACGGGCCTGGACATGTACTGGCTTAAGCAGGGAGACACGTCTGGCACAGCAGGATTTGAGTCCCTGGCGGCTTAGTGTGTTACTGATGGTAGGCTTTGTTACTTTGGTCCCAGCTCTCTGCAGGTCATTCACTAGGTCCCCCTGTGTGGTTCTGGGATTTTTGCTCACCGTTCTTGTGATCATTTTGACCCCACGGGGTGAGATCTTGCGTGGAGCCCCAGATCGAGGGAGATTATCAGTGGTCTTGTATGTCTTCCATTTCCTAATAATTGCTCCCACAGTTGATTTCTTCAAACCAAGCTGCTTACCTATTGTAGATGCAGTCTTCCCAGCCTAGTGCAGGTCTACAATTTTGTTTCTGGTGTCCTTTGACACCTCTTTGGTCTTGGCCATAGTGGAGTTTGGAGTGTGACTGTTTGAGGTTGTGGACAGGTGTCTTTTATACTGATAACAAGTTCAAACAGGTGCCATTAATACAGGTAACGAGTGGAGGACAGAGGAGCCTCTTAAAGAAGAAGTTACAGGTCTGTGAGAGCCAAAAATCTTGCTTGTTTGTAGGTGACCAAATACTTATTTTCCACCATAATTTGCAAATAAATTCATAAAAAATCCTACAATGTGATTTTCAGGATTTTTTTTTCTCAATTTGTCTGTCATAGTTGACGTGTACCTATGACGAAAGTGGGAGAACTTTCACAATTGGTGGCTGACTAAATACTTTTTTCCCCACTGTACAAAAACACCAATCAAACACAGAGTGGGGAGGAAAAATTCATTGTTGTCTGCAGTTCAGAGGCCTGGACACATCTTTAAGCACTGTGAGTTAGAGCAAGTTTTGATAGTGATAAACCAGACCATTCCATCACTGGTAATAGGTCAGCATAATGACTCACTTGATTTTATATATCAATTACTCCCCTGGTTACAAGATTTGGGCATCAAAAAAATGGTCAGTGCTATGCATACTGATAGCTGTGAAACTTGCAAATACAGCATCTCACACAATGAGCATTACTTCAGCTACATTTTTCAGGTTTGACTAAATACAGACATATCATCGCTTGATATTCTATACAGGCAATTAATCACTAAAGGAGGTGCACCCACAAAATGCAGTCAATGTGATGGTGTATTGATTAGACAGACTGTTTGAATCACCACACCGGATATTCTTGTTATTTTTGTGCCCCGTATAGCAGAAAATGGTACAGTTAAGAGAGACTGCATTTTTCAACCCAGTACAATTGGATTCCCAGTTGTTGGCAACAAGAAACAGATGTACAGATTGAGCTCTGTAATATGTCACTCAGGCACAAAATCTACGAGGGGGCATTTCTGGTCAGAGACAGATTTGACACTTTTAAGATACGGGCAGATGACTTACACATTTCTGTTGGCACGAATAGGGAAGGGGTTGGCACAAGAAAAGAAGGGGTTATATATTTCTATGAAGTAGTTAATGAACCTCAGAGGCAAACATATTGCAATGATGTACAACCACTTGATTCAGAATCAGAGATGTATGTCATTGCACAAAATGAATACTTCTCCAATCACACAGTGGATAAAACGTTACTCATTAAAAAGTTTCCAACCTAGTTTTAAATTATTTTTAAAAAATTGGGTCGTTGATAAACACGCCATCCACCCAATAATTTGTATCTGCATGCATACGCAGAAGTCCCCTACACATTCATTACCTATTATACAGGTGAAATTAGTAATCGACACAGACGTAGTGGCATAGCAAGAAGATTGCAATGCTGTGGCCAAGAGGTTGTGAGTTCAAATCCTATATGAGGACATAATAATACTGTACAAATAAACATACGTCACATACAGTGGGGAAAAAAAGTATTTAGTCAGCCACCAATTGTGCAAGTTCTCCCACTTAAAAATATGAGAGAGGCCTGTAATTTTCATCATAGGTACACGTCAACTATGACAGAGAAAATGAGGGAAAAAAATCCAGAAATTCACATTGTAGGATTTTTAATGAATTTATTTGCAAATTATGGTGGAAAATAAGTATTTGGTCAATAACAAAAGTTTCTCAATACTTTGTTATATACCCTTTGTTGGCAATGACACAGGTCAAACGTTTTCTGTAAGTCTTCACAAGGTTTTCACACACTGTTGCTGGTATTTTGGCCCATTCCTCCATGCAGATCTCCTCTAGAGCAGTGATGTTTTGGGGCTGTCGCTGGGCAATACGGACTTTCAACTCCCGCCAAAGATTTTCTATGGGGTTGAGATCTGGAGACTGGCTAGGCCACTCCAGGACCTTGAAATGCTTCTTACGAAGCCACTCCTTCGTTGCCCGGGCGGTGTGTTTGGGATTATTGTCATGCTGAAAGACCCAGCCACGTTTCATCTTCAATGCCCTTGCTGATGGAAGGAGGTTTTCACTCAAAATCTCATGATACATGGCCCCATTCATTCTTTCCTTTACACGGATCAGTCGTCCTGGTCCCTTTGCAGAAAAACAGCCCCAAAGCATGATGTTTCCACCCCCATGCTTCACAGTAGGTATGGTGTTCTTTGGATGCAACTCAGCATTCTTTGTCCTCCAAACACGACGAGTTGAGTTTTTACCAAAAAATTATATTTTGGTTTCATCTGACATTCTCCCAATCCTCTTCTGGATCATCCAAATGCACTCTAGCAAACTTCAGACGGGCCTGGACATGTACTGGCTTAAGCAGGGGGACACGTCTTGTACTGCAGGATTTGAGTCCCTGGCAGCGTAGTGTGTTACTGATGGTAGGCTTTGTTACTTTGGTCCCAGCTCTCTGCAGGTCATTCACTAGGTCCCCCCGTGTGGTTCTGGGATTTTTGCTCACCGTTCTTGTGATCATTTTGACCCCACAGGGTGAGATCTTGCGCGGAGCCCCAGATCGAGGGAGATTATCAGTGGTCTTGTATATCTTCCATTTCCTAATAATTGCTCCCACAGTTGATTTCTTCAAACCAAGCTGCTTACCTATTGCAGATTCAGTCTTCCCAGCCTGGTGCAGGTCTACAATTTTGTTTCTGGTGTCCTTTGACAGCTCTTTGGTCTTGGCCATAGTGGAGTTTGGAGTGTGACTGTTTGAGGTTGTGGACAGGTGTCTTTTATACTGATAACAAGTTCAAACAGGTGCCATTAATACAGGTAACGAGTGGAGGACAGAGGAGCCTCTTAAAGAAGAAGTTACAGGTGTGTGAGAGCCAGAAATCTTGCTTGTTTGTAGGTGACCAAATACTTATTTTCCACCATAATTTGCAAATAAATTCATTAAAAATCCTACAATGTGATTTTCGGGAAAATTTTTTCTCATTTTGTCTGTCATAGTTGACGTGTACCTATGATGAAAATTACAGGCCTCTCTCATCTTTTTAAGTGGGAGAACTTGCACAATTGGTGGCTGACTAAATACTTTTTTTCCCCACTGTATGTAAGTTGAAAACACTGTGACTACATTCCGGCGACATCCTAACCACCCATTCTTGTTTTCAGGTTCATCACCTGTGACATCTCATGTGAAAGATATTCACATTTGAAAATTGTTATCCACGTGAAACTTCATGTGAAATATCATCACATGTTAAGTGTTCCAAAACCACATGGTTTTACATGATTTACATGTTTTACATGGTTTTACATGTTTTACATGAAAGGTTATGTGATCATATGTTAAAATCCACATGTGAAATGTAATGTGAAATATCATCACGTGAAATCATGTAATTTTTCCACATGTGAAATCATGTGTTTTTTCCGTAAGGGGATGATCAATTTGATTAATTAACTTCATTGTGATATTTGTTATGAATAAAGAATTCTTTCTTTGACCAAATGTACATGCATCTCTCTTTACTTTTTTAATAAACATGTTGTTGTATTTTTCCAAAGTGTCCACCAGAAGGAAGATTATAAGATCTTTGTATTTTACATTGTAAAGTATTTTGGTATGACAATATACACTGAGTGTACAAAACATTAAGGACACCTGCTCTTTCCATGACATACAGTGCATTCAGAAAATATTCAGACCCCTTGACTTTTTCCACATTTTGTTACGTTACAGCCTTATTCTATCAATCTACACACAATACCCCATAACGACAAAGCGAAAACACATTTTTAGAAATTGTTGCACATTTATTACAAATAAAAAACTGAAATACCTTTTTTACATAGGTATTCAGACCCTTTGCTATGAGACTCGAAATTGAGCTCAGGTGCATCCTGTTTCCATTGATCATCATTGAGATGTTTCTACAACTTGATTGGAGTCCACCTGTGGTAGATTTAATTGATTGGACATGATTTGGAATGGCACACAGCTGTCTATATCTGGTCCCACAGTTGACAGTACATGTCAGAGCAAAAACCAAGCCATGAGGTCGAAGGAATTGTCCGTAGATCTCAGAGACAGGATTGTGTCGAGGCACAGATCTGGGAAAGGGTACCAAAAAATGTATGCAGCATTGAAGGTCCCCAATGCCTCCATCATTCTTAAATGGAAGAAGTTTGGAACCACCAAGACTCTTCCTAGAGCTGGCCGCCCGGCCAAACTGAGCAATCAGGGGAGAAGGGCCTTGTTCAGGGAGGTGACCAAGAACATGATGGTCACTTTGACAGAACTCCAAAGTTCCTCTGTAGAGATGGGAGAACCTTCAAGAAGGACAACCATCTCTGCAGCACTCCACCAATAAGGCCTTTATGGTAGAGTGGCCAGACGGAAGCCACTCCTCAGTAAAAGGCACATGACAGCCCTGTTGGAGTTTGCCAAAAGGCACCTAAAGGACTCTCAGACCATGAAAAACAAGATTCTCTGGTCTGATGAAACCAAGATTGAACTCTTTGGCCTGAATGCCAAGCGTCACGTCTGGAGGAAACCTGGCACCATCCCTACGGTGAAGCATGGTGGTGGCAGCATCATGCTGTGGGGATGTTTTTCAGCGGCAGGGACTGGGAGACTAGTCAGGATCGAGGGAAAGATGAACGGAGCAAAGTACAGAGAGATCCTTGATGAAATCCTGCTCCAGAGCGCTCAGGACCTCAGACTGGGGTGAAGGTTCACCTTCCAACAGGACAACGACCGTTAGCACGCAGCCAAGACAACGCAAGAGTGGCTTCTGGACAAGTCTCTGAATGTCCTTGAGTATTCCAGCCAGAGCCCGGACTTGAACCCGATCGAACGTCTCTGGAGAGACCTGAAAATAGCTGTGCAACGACGCTCCCCATACAACCTGACAGAGATTGAAAGGATCTGCAGAGAAGAATGGGAGAAACTCCCCAAATACAGGTGTGCCAAATTTGTAGTATCATACCCAAGTAGACTCGAGGCTGTAATCGACAAATATTTTCAACTTAGTTTATCCACTGACCACTGCATTTAGGAGGATAGCTAATTACTGAAATATAGCTAGCTAGATCACTTGCCAGGCAGTAGCCACTAACTAATCGTGGACACATTATCTATTCTTTGATACATTTGGGTTAACTTGCTCATATCAAGCAACAAATACCACATAATTTGTGGAAAGGTAAAAATAAAAATGAGTGGGCTTGTTTTTTTTAATGATCGGACAGTGAAACTAAAATAGATTGGTAGTTAGCTGGTGAGGCTTTCATTTATTTCCCTATTTAATTTGGTGATCAAGCTGAAGCTGGGTTTCCCAAGTCGTTTGGTCGGTGCTAACTGCTCATGCCGGTGGCACAAGCTAGAAAAATAATGATTGTTTACGTTTGTATGTTATTTTATTTTTTACAAACTAGCTAAATAGACGGCTCTGTAGAGCATCTATGTGACTTCACACACTCAATAAGGCTCAACCAATCACCCGACAGGTTCTATTGCCTTTGTAACTGATATGAAATGGCTAGCTAGTTAGCGGTGCGCGCTAGTAGCGTTTCAATCGGTGATGTCACTCGCTCTGAGACCTTGAAGTAGTTGTTTCCCTTGCGCTGAAAGGATCAGGGCTTTTGTGGAGCAATAGGTAACGATTCTTAGAGGCTGACTGTTGTCGATGTGTGCAGAGGATCCCTGGTTCAAGCCCAGGTTGGGGCGAGGAGAGGGACAGAAGCAACACTGTTACACCTCGCTACGGAAGGAAATATTTCAATATAATGACGAGATACCTATGTTTCCACCCTAACAATGGGATTCATTGTCCACTGAGCGGAAAGGCGGGCTGTCAAGCTCCTGCCCATTCCTCTCTTTGTATTGGTGGATACATCTCGTTATTGTAATACTTTTTTGAATATTGGATGTTGACATCAACCGCCTGTATTCAGTGGAGATAGATGCTAGGCTACTAGCCTCATGTCATGAATATGCATAGCCTATATAAAGTGTTTTCTCTCAAAGTTGCGAGGATGTCACATGTCCTACTTACAGTGGGGAGAACAAGTATTTGATACACTGCCGATTTTGCAGGTTTTCCTACTTACAAAGCATGTAGAGGTCTGTAATTTTTATCATAGGTACACTTCAACTGTGAGAGACGGAATCTAAAACAAAAATCCAGAAAATCACATTGTATGATTTTTAAGTAATTAATTTGCATTTTATTGCATGACATAAGTATTTGATCACCTACCAACCAGTAAGAATTCCGGCTCTCACAGACCTGCTAGTTTTTCTTTAAGAAGCCCTCCTGTTCTCCACTCATTACCTGTATTAACTGCACATGTTTGAACTCGTTACCTGTATAAAAGACACTTGTCCACACACTCAATCAAACAGACTCCAACCTCTCCACAATGGCCAAGACCAGAGAGCTGTGTAAGGACATCAGAGATAAAATTGTAGACCTGCACAAGGCTGGGATGGGCTACAGGACAATAGGCAAGCAGCTTGGTGAGAAGGCAACAATTGTTGGCGCAATAATTAGAAAATGGAAGAAGTTCAAGATGACGGTCAATCACCCTCGGTCTGGGGCTCCATGCAAGATCTCACCTCGTGGGGCATCAATGATCATGAGGAAGGTGAGGGATCAGCCCAGAACTACACGGCAGGACCTGGTCAATGACCTGAAGAGAGCTGGGACCACAGTCTCAAAGAAAACCATTAGTAACACACTACGCCGTCATGGATTAAAATCCTGCAGCGCACGCAAGGTCCCCCTGCTCAAGCCAGCGCATGTCCAGGCCCGTCTGAAGTTTGCCAATGACCATCTGGATGATCCAGAGGAGGAATGGGAGAAGGTAATGTGGTCTGATGAGACAAAAATAGAGCTTTTTGGTCTAAACTCGAATCGCCGTGTTTGGAGGAAGAAGAAGGATGAGTACAACCCCAAGACCACCATCCCAACTGTGAAGCATGGAGGTGGAAACATCATTCTTTGGGGATGCTTTTCTGCAAAGGGGACAGGACGACTGCACCGTATTGAGGGGAGGATGGATGGGGCCATGTATCGTGAGATCTTGGCCAACAACCTCCTTCCCTCAGTAAGAGCATTGAAGATGGGTCGTGGCTGGGTCTTCCAGCATGACAACGACCCGAATCACACAGCCAGGGCAACTAAGGAGTTGCTCCGTAAGAAGCATCTCAAGGTCCTGGAGTGGCCTAGCCAGTCTCCAGACCTGAACCCAATAGAAAATCTTTGGAGGGAGCTGAAAGTCCGTATTGCCCATTGACAGCCCCAAAACCTGAAGGATCTGGAGAAGGTCTGTATTGAGGAGTGGGCCAAAATCCCTGCTGCAGTGTGTGCAAACCTGGTCAAGACCTATAGGAAACATATGATCTCTGTAATTGCAAACAAAAGTTTCTGTACCAAATATTAAGTTCTGCTTTTCTGATGTATCAAATACTTATGTCATGCAATGAAATGCAAATTCATTACTTAAAAATCATACAATGTGATTTTCTGGATTTTTGTTTTAGATTCCGTCTCTCACAGTTGAAGTGTACCCGTGATAGAAATGACAGACCTCTACATGCTTTGTAAGTAGGAAAACCTGCAAAATCGGCAGTGTATCAAATACTTGTTCTCCCCACTGTACAGTGGGGAAAAAAAGTATTTAGTCAGCCACCAATTGTGCAAGTTCTCCCACTTAAAAAGATGAGAGAGGCCTGTAATTTTCATCATAGGTACACGTCAACTATGACAGACAAAATGAGAAAAAAAATTCCTGAAAATCACATTGTAGGATTTTTAATGAATTTATTTGCAAATTATGGTGGAAAATAAGTATTTGGTCACCTACAAACAAGCAAGATTTCTGGCTCTCACACACCTGTAACTTCTTCTTTAAGAGGCTCCTCTGTCCTCCACTCGTTACCTGTATTAATGGCACCTGTTTGAACTTGTTATCAGTATAAAAGACACCTGTCCACAACCTCAAACAGTCACACTCCAAACTCCACTATGGCCAAGACCAAAGAGCTGTCAAAGGACACCAGAAACAAAATTGTAGACCTGCACCAGGCTGGGAAGACTGAATCTGCAATAGGTAAGCAGCTTGGTTTGAAGAAATCAACTGTGGGAGCAATTATTAGGAAATGGAAGACATACAAGACCACTGATAATCTCCCTCGATCTGGGGCTCCGCGCAAGATCTCACCCTGTGGGGTCAAAATGATCACAAGAACGGTGAGCAAAAATCCCAGAACCACACGGGGGGACCTAGTGAATGACCTGCAGAGAGCTGGGACCAAAGTAACAAAGCCTACCATCAGTAACACACTACGCTGCCAGGGACTCAAATCCTGCAGTACCAGACGTGTCCCCCTGCTTAAGCCAGTACATGTCCAGGCCCGTCTGAAGTTTGCTAGAGTGCATTTGGATGATCCAGAAGAGGATTGGGAGAATGTCAGATGAAACCAAAATATAATTTTTTGGTAAAAACTCAACTCGTCGTGTTTGGAGGACAAAGAATGCTGAGTTGCATCCAAAGAACACCATACCTACTGTGAAGCATGGGGGTGGAAACATCATGCTTTGGGGCTGTTTTTCTGCAAAGGGACCAGGACGACTGATCCGTGTAAAGGAAAGAATGAATGGGGCCATGTATCATGAGATTTTGAGTGAAAACCTCCTTCCATCAGCAAGGGCATTGAAGATGAAACGTGGCTGGGTCTTTCAGCATGACAATAATCCCAAACACACCGCCCGGGCAACGAAGGAGTGGCTTCGTAAGAAGCATTTCAAGGTCCTGGAGTGGCCTAGCCAGTCTCCAGATCTCAACCCCATAGAAAATCTTTGGCGGGAGTTGAAAGTCCGTATTGCCCAGCGACAGCCCCAAAACATCACTGCTCTAGAGGAGATCTGCATGGAGGAATGGGCCAAAATACCAGCAACAGTGTGTGAAAACCTTGTGAAGACTTACAGAAAACGTTTGACCTGTGTCATTGCCAACAAAGGGTATATAACAAAGTATTGAGAAACTTTTGTTATTGACCAAATACTTATTTTCCACCATAATTTGCAAATAAATTCATTAAAAATCCTACAATGTGAATTTCTGGATTTTTTTCCCTCATTTTCTCTGTCATAGTTGACGTGTACCTATGATGAAAATTACAGGCCTCTCTCATATTTTTAAGTGGGAGAACTTGCACAATTGGTGGCTGACTAAATACTTTTTTTCCCCACTGTATATCAGTACACTCTTAACAACCTAAGCATTACGAAACTTCTATTAGATCAAATAAACCTCAAATAAGCCATTACATTTTTTGTTGAACAAATTCAACACTCTCATTGACCTCCATACAAAAACTCCTCACTTGGTGAGCGAAACAAACGATACAACGGCACATTTCTTTCCAATTATTTTATTGTTTTAATTCATATATTTCTTTAGTTGATATTTTTCAGGAGGTGGTGCAGCACCCTCAGCACCTCTACTTCCTGCGGAAGTAGCTGCTTCTTCTTCTTCTTCTTCTTCTTCTTCTTCTTCTTCTTCTTCTTCTTCTTCTTCTTCTTCTTCTTCTTCTTCTTCTTCTTCTTCTTCTTCTTCTTCTTCTTCTTCTTCTTCTTCTGTGGTTTTTATATGGTGGTTCGCAACCAACTTCAATGTGCATTACTTCCACCAACTGGACTGGAGTGTGGACCAGAGACAGGGAAGGTCTAAATCCTACCCATTATTCTCGTCTCCTTAAGGAAACTAAATTCATAATTACATACTACATCCCCTGAAGATTTTCTCAGCAATTCACTTATGCTTGGCTCTTCAACACCATTACTCCTTAAATCTGATAACAATCTCTTCCTTTCCCTCCCATATTGCTGTAACTGAAATAACACTTTCCACTGTCTCCATCTCCTCCTGACAGTTTTCAAACCTCCCAGTCAGATGTTTTCCTACCAATTTTAATATCTGTTGAGCCTTGTGTGTCCTAGTCTCAGCCGTGTGATTGCACTTTCCTCCCTTCTTTCTCGACCTGAGGACCTCCCTGCCTCCACATTTTCCTGGAGCTTATACAGATGTCTTCCCTTTCTCTCCCTGTTCTACAACTCTTGACATTTGTTTTTAACCACTCTTCTTATTAACCCCTTGGCTTCTGCTTTACTGATTGAGAATTCCATTTAAACATTTGGAGGTTTGAGAGCTTACTTGGCGAGAACATCCACCTACTCATTCCCCTTTACTCCCACATGAGCTGGTACCAAGACGAACCTCACAAATGCCCCCATATGTCTCACCCTAAACAGGCACTGCAAAATCTCATAAAATACATCTTGTCTGCTCAGTGACACAAATTAATTTAAGCTTATCAGTGCAGCACATGAGTCAGAGCAGATGACTACTCAGTCTGGCCCCACCTCCTCCACCCACCCTGCAGCAGTATGGCCAGCAACTCCATTGTGTATACGGTTAAATTATCCGTTGCTCTTTTTGTCACTGCTACCTTAAACTCAGGAACACTAAAAGCTGCTCCTGTCCTCCCTGTTTTAGGGTCCTTAGATCAATCCATCAGTGAATATATTCAAGACAGCACAGTACTGAGTTCTTAAATGTTCACTTACTTACTGGATCTACTCATTTGCATTTACATTTACATTTACGTCATTTAGCAGACGCTCTTATCCAGAGCGACTTACAAATAGGTGCATTCACCTTATAGCCAGTGGGATAACTACTTTACAATATGTTTTTTTTTTCTTTGGGGTGGGGTAAGGGGGGGGGGGGGGTAGAAGGATTACTTTATCCTATCCCAGGTATTCCTAAAAGAGGTGGGGTTTCAAGTGTCTCCGGAAGGTGGTGAGTGACTCCGTTGTCCTGGCGTCGTGAGGGAGCTTGTTCCACCATTGGAGTGCCAGAGCAGTGAATAGTTTTGACTGGGCTGAGCGGGAACTGTGCTTCCGCAGAGGTAGGGGGACCAGCAGGCCAGAGGTGGATGAACGCAATGCCCTCGTTTGGGTGTAGGGACTGATCGGAGCCTGAAGGTACGGAGGTGCCGTTCCCCTCACAGCTCCGTAGGCAAGCACCATGGTCTTGTAGCAGATGCGAGCTTCAACTGGAAGCCAGTGGAGCATGCGGAGGAGCGGGGTGACGTGAGAGAACTTGGGAAGGTTGAACACCAGACAGGCTGCGGCATTCTGGATGAGTTGTAGGGGTTTAATGGCACAGGCAGGGAGCCCAGTTGCAGTAATCCAGACGGAAGATGACAAGTGCCTGGATTAGGACCTGTGCCGCTTCCTGTGTAAGGCAGGGTCGTACTCTCAGAATGTTGTAGAGCATGAACCTACAGGATAGGGTCACCGCCTTGATGTTAGCGGAGAACGACAGGGTGTTGTCCAGGGTCACGCCAAGGCTCTTCGCACTCTGGGAGGAGGACACAACGGAGTTGTCAACCATGATGGCGAGATAATGGAACGGGCAGTCCTTCACCGGGAGGAAGAGCAGCTCCGTCTTGCCGAGGTTCAGCTTGAGGTGGTGATCCGTCATTCACACTGATATGTCTGCCAGACATGCAGAGATGCGATTCGCCACTTGGTTATCAGAAGGGGGAAAGGAGAAGATTAGTTGTGTGTCGTCTGCATAGCAATGATAGGAGAGGCCATGTGAGGATATGACAGAGCCAAGTGACTTGGTGTATAGCGAGAATAGGAGAGGGCCTAGAACTGAGCCCTGGGGGACACCAGTGGTGAGAGCACGTGGTACGGAGACAGATTCTCACCACGCCACTTGGTAGGAGCAACCGGTCAGGTAGGACGCAATCCAAGAGTGAGCCGCGCCGGAAATGTCCAACTCGGAGAGGGTGGAGAGGAGTATCTGATGGTTCACAGTATCAAAGGCAGCAGACAGGTCTAGAAGGACAAGAGCGGAGGAGAGAGAGTTAGCTTTAGCAGTGTGGAGAGCCTCCGTGACACAGAGAAGAGCAGTCTCAGTTGAATGACCAGTCTTGAAACCTGACTGGTTTGGATCAAGAAGGTCATTCTGAGAGAGATAGCAAGAGAGTTGGCTAAAGACGGCACACTCAAGAGTTTTGGAGAGAAAAGAAAGAAGGGATACTGGTCTGTAGTTGTTGACATCAGAGGGATCGAGTGTTGGTTTTTTGAGAAGGGGTGCAACTCTCGCTCTCTTGAAGACGGAAGGGACATAGCCAGCGGTCAAGGATGAGTTGATGAGCGAGGTGAGGTAAGGGAGAATGTCACCGGAGATGGTCTGGAGAAGAGAGGAGGGGATAGGGTCAAGCAGGCAGGTTGTTGGGCGGCCGGCCGTCACAAGTCGCAAGATTTAATCTGGAGAGAGAGGGGAGAAAGAAGTCAAAGCATAGGGTAGGGCAGTGTCATTTGACTTAACAAACGAGGATTGGATGTCGTCAACCTTCTTTTCAAAATGGTTGATGAAGTCATCCACAGAGAGGTGGGGGGGGGGGGATTCAGCAGGGAGGAGAAGGTGGCAAAGAGCTTCCTAGAGTTAGAGGCAGATGCTTGGAATTTAGAGTGGTAGAAAGTGGCTTTAGCAGCAGAAACAGATGAAGAAAATGTAGAGAGGAGGGAGTGAAAAGATGCCAGGTCCGCAGGGAGTCTAGTTTTCCTCAATTTCCGCTCGGCTGCCCGGAGCCCTGTTCTGTGAGCTCGCAATGAGTCGTCAAGCCACGGAGCAGGAGGGGAGGACCGAGCCGGCCGGGAGGATAGGGGACATAGAGAGTCAAAGGATGCAGAAAGGGACGAGAGGAGAATCAGGAGATTGGAGGGAGAAGGATTGAGCAGAGGGAAGAGATGATAAGATGGAAGAGGAGAGAGTAGCGGGAGAGAGAGAGCGAAGGTTGCGACGACGCATTACCATCTGAGTAGGGGCAGAGTGAGTAGTGTTGGAGGAGAGCGAGAGAGAAAAGGATACAAAGTAGTGGTCGGAGACATGGAGGGAAGTTGCAGTGACATTGATAGAAGAACAGCATCTAGTAAAGATGAGGTCAAGCGTATTGCCTGCCTTGTGAGTAGGGGGGGACGGTGAGAGGGTGAGGTCAAAAGAGGAGAGGAGTGGAAAGAAGGAGGCAGAGAGAAATGAGTCAAAGGTAGACGTAGGGAGGTTGAAGTCACCCAGAACTGTGAGGGGTGAGCCATCCTCAGGAAAGGAACTTATCAAGGCATCAAGCTCATTGATGAACTCTCCAAGGGAACCTGGAGGGTGATAAATGACAAGGATGTTAAGCTTGAATGAGCTAGTGACTGTGACAGCATGGAATTCAAATGAGGAGATAGACAGATGGGTCAGGGGAAAAAGAGAGAATGTCCACTTGGAAGAGATGAGGATTCCTGTGCCACCACCCCACTGACCAGATGCTCTCGGGGTATGTGAGAACACATGGTCAGACGAGGAGAGAGCAGTAGGAGTAGCAGTGTTTTCAGTGGTAATCCATGTTTCCGTCAGCGCCAAGAAGTCGAGGGACAGGAGGGTAGCATAGGCTGAGATGAACTCTGCCTTGTTGGCCGCAGAACGGCAATTCCAGAGGCTGCCGGAGACCTGGAACTCCACGTGGGTCGTGCGTGCAGGGACCACCAGGTTAGAGAGGCAGCAGCCACGCGGTGTGAGGCGTTTGTATAGCCTGTGCGGAGAGAAGAGAACAGGGACAGACAGAGGCATAGTTGACAGGCTACAGAAAATGGCTACAATAATGCAAAGGAGATCGGAATGAAATGAACTAGCGCTTACCCTCTCAAGCACCGCTAGGTCTATCATTGGCTGAGGGAGCAACCCAAGGTGGGATAGCAGGAAGAACCACAGAGGGGCTGAACTCTTTCCCAAACAACCCCATCTCTCTCGCCATACCATTACCTATCCACCCAAAACATGTATTCATATCTCGTTCATGTTCCCAGCACTCTAGGATCACATTTTTTGTAGGATATGTAACTTTATGTCCTTGAAGATTTACCCAATATGTCCTGGTGCAGCTGCTGTCCAAAAATGTGACATGGAGAAGAACTGTAGTTTTTTTGCGACACTTCAGGGCGATGTATGGTAGAAGATGAGACTCACCAGAGATACCTCAGTGGACTCACACATAAAGAATGATAGAGGCCTCTAGTGGCCAAAATCCTGTTTTAGCATTGGCAGCACATATCAATCAATCAATCAAATGTATTTATAAAGCCCTTTATACATCAGCAGATGTCACAAAGTGCTATGCAGAAAGCCAGCCTAAAATCCCAAACAGCAAGCAATGCAGATGTAGAAGCACGGTGGCTAGGAAAAACTCCCTAGAAAGGCAGAAACCTAAGAGGAAACCTAAAGAGGTGGCCAGTCCCCTTCTGGCTATGCCAGGTGGAGATTATAACAGTACATGGCCATTAAGGCCAGATTTTTCTCCAAGATGTTCAAACGTTCATAGATGAATAAATAACAATCACGGTGGTTGTAGAGGTTGCAACAGGTCAGTACATCAGGAGTAATTGTCACTTGGCTTTTCATAACCGGGCATTTAGAGGTTGAAATAGCAGGTGCGTTAGAGAGAGAGAGTTGAAAACAGCATGTCTGGGACAAGGTAGCACGTCCGGTAAACAGGTCAGGGTTCCATAGCCGCAGACAGAAGAGTTGAAACTGGAGCAGCAGCACGACCAGGTGGACTGAGGACAGCAAAGAGTCATCAGGCCAGGTAGTCCTGAGGCATGGGCCTAGGGCTCAGGTCCTCCGGGATGGGAGGGAGAGAGGGAGAGAGAGAGAATCAGAGGGAGCATACTTAAATTCACACAGGACACCGGATAAGACAGGTGAATAACACCAGATATAACAGACTGACCCTAGCCCCCCGGCACATAGATTACTGCAGCATAGATACTGGAGGCTGAGACATAGAGAATGATAGAGAAAGCATCCCTATATCATTCCAATTATGGCATCTGTGAGCATACGGGCAGCGCGCTCACAGATGAAGTAGTCGATTTTCTTCCTCTACTACTTATAGGAGTATGCTAACAAACTGAAAGGGTACATATTGCTACCTGTAGCGTGTTGTTTGAACAGGTATAAAGCTAAGGGTGCCGATTTACTGCCACCTGCAGTTATGGAATGTTTGTTCACGTGTACAATTCAATGGCTGATCCCTCCTGATGACCCGGATCCTTCCTTAACTCATAGGAAGTCCCCCTTATGAAAAAATAACTAAACATTCTTATAGGACTTCTATAGTACCCTATAGTGGGCTTATAGTGTCCTATAATATATCTAATCTTCTATAATATTCTTATAGGATTTCCTATAGGGTTCCTATAGGATTCCCTGCTGGATGTTTTCTGTTATAATAGTCAATAATACTTGTACACTATTATCATTAATCAAAATCTCTATAGTATTCCTATAGTGAGCTTTGATAGTATTCTATAATTAGTGTAGTTCTTCAAGCTGCTTAAGGAGATTTTCTTTATTTTTACTATTTTCTACATTGTAAAATAATAGTGAAGACATCAAAACTATGAAATAACACATATGGAATCATGTAGTAACCAAAAATGTGTTAAACAAATCCACTTTTTTAACACTTTTTTGTTTACTACATGATTCCATATGTGTTATTTCATAGTTTTAATGTCTTCACTATTATTCTACAATGTAGAAAATATTAAAAAATAAAGGAAAACCCTTGAATGAGTTGGTGTGTCCAAACTTTTGACTGGTACTGTATGAGAGATATATGCTCAGAAAATGAAGAAAAAAATGAACAGTGAAATTATCCATATACCTTTGATGTGAATATGCCCCATTCACTGCCATAAATGTTTCGTCTGGTACCAGGTTACCTTCAGATGAGTCCCGTGACACTTGTGGGGTGTCGTAAAGTAAATCGTGTTTGTGAGAGTCTCATCTTTCATTAGAAGCATAGCTGCGGGAGGATGTTTGGGGGGGTTATATTAGCACCCCTACTTCCCGCAGCTATGCATAGAGGGGTCATATTAGTGTGTAGCTACAGACAGAAGTTGGCACATTGGTGCTACCGACACCCCGTGATGTAGCCCAAACCATTCGGTTGCTACAGACGTTTTCGTGAGAAGACCAATTTTCCGGATGTCTCCTGACTCCAGGTCTGAGAAACAGAGCTGTAGCTCTGCCACCTTCAACCGCAGATACGGAAGGCCGACATCGGCCAATGCGGTGGATTGAGACAGATTTTTATGGGGATTTTTTTATTACAATAATTAGATTTCCGCGGGAGCGCAGACATCGACTCTACACATCTATTTACAAATGTCATATAGGTAGGCCCTATGCTATTTGCACAATTCAAATATTACCATGCTATAGATCTGAATCATGGAAATGTACCATGGTTTTAGCTATGAAGTATGATGGTACTGTCATGCACCTAAATAATATAGGGCGGCAGGTAGCTTAGTGGGTAAGAGCGTTGTGCCAGTAACCGAAAGGTCGCTGGTTCTAATCCCCGAGCCGACTAGGTGAAAAATCTGTCGATGTGCCCTTGAGCAAGGCACTTAACCCTAATTGCTCCTGTAAGTCGCTCTGGATAAGAGCGTCTGCTAAATGACAAAAAAATAATAATAATAATACCAAGATATTGTATAATTTATACCATGGTATAGATGTGGATCATGGAAAAAACATAGTTTTAACCTGCACTTTACCATGGGTCACATTCTATTATGGTAACGTATAATTATGATAAATGGTACCAAAAATGTATCTTTATTAATTGTGTGTTACCCTGGCACAATAGCAGTATAATGCATTAAATAAATTAATCCACCAAGGTCAAAAGAGGTTGGTTGGTATTATTTTGATGGATTTGTATACCATTATGGGAAAGTTTCTGATAAAGTCAGAGGCATTAGGCTACTATTGTTGTTCCTAGTTTGTCTAACATCTCCCGAGTGGCGCAGTGGTCTAAGGCACTGCATCGCAGTGCTAGCTGTGCCACTAGATCCTGGTTCATTTTCAGGCTCTGTCGTAGCCGGCCACGACTGGGAGACCCATGGGGTGGCGCACAATTGGGCCAGCGTCGTCCAGGGTAGGGGATGGAATGGCCGGCAGGGATGTAGCTCAGTTGGTAGAGCATGCGTTTGCAACGCCAGGGTTGTGTGTTCGATTCCCACGGGGGGCCAGTATGAAAAATAAAATAAAATAATGATGTATGCACTCACTAACTGTAAATCGCTGTGGATAAGAGCGTCTGCAAAATGTAAATGTAACATCAAAGAAAAAGGGAAATAGTTGCTGTGAAAAGGGGGTAATACTTTCTCTATTAATAGTAACATTTTTTGCTCATGTTTGGGTTCCCTGTGTTGCCAACCAGAAATGTGGGAGAATGCGAGATATAGCTATGGTAGCCTAATCGTTTTTTGTAATGATGTAAAAAAATATATATATAATATTATTTATAGTCAAGGGGTGTTGTGCTTGTTTCGGCCTGCTGTTTGTAAGACTGGCACAAGATGCTCACATGCTAAACTGAAATTATTCATAAGTGTCATGACTCATTGGTTTAAATTATAAGTAGCCAATATTTACAAAACCACACATTTCTGGTCTGCATTTCAAATGTTGTCTTTTCTTGTTAATACCGTATTTCAATATGATCGTCATCTCTCTCCCTCCTCCCTCATATTCTCCCTCTCTCACACGTGTTCCTCCAATGTCTGTATTATAGTGTGCAACATTGGGGGAATACAGTGCTGCTCCCACTCTGTCTCTGTCTGCAGCAGTATGTTGTGCTCGGTGTGGGAGCAGCTCCCTTTTCTGCTTCCCCTCGAAATGACGAGTCATTTCTCCGAAGCTGCACTTCTTCTCTGCACAATCTTTGCTCTTGAGAAGATCAATAAAAAACAGAACAAATAGAGTTCCAGGGAAGAGGCAAGAAAGGGAGAAAAGGGAGAAAGAAAAGGGGGGAACGAGAGGAAGAGAGAGGAGAGACAAAGAGAAAAAGGGGAAACAGAGAGCGAGGGGGGGTGGGGACAGAGTGAAATGTTCTATGATTGAATGAGAGTGAGAGAGACAAGAAGAGGAAAGCTTTTTGACTGCCAACATTTTGTGGACCTGTCTGGATACACCATCTAACAGACTACCGGTATCCCCTGAAGGAGCAGGAGGCAAAAAGCATGGAGGTGGAGGGGTGAGAAAGAAAACAAAAGGCTAGAGACAAAATGGTTACAGTCTCCTCTGGCTCTGAATTTGGTACCGGTAGGTGAGTTTAGTTCTGGAGCTCTGCTCCTCTATGTTTCGCTACAGCTATTCATCTGCACTCCTTCATGCACAATCCCAACGGCAGCTACTGTCTGTTACAGCTCTCTCTTCTCTGGCCATCTGACAGCATAGACATTAAAACAGGAAATTATCTATCGCTTTTGCCTGACTACCTTCCTGCCTTGGAGAGCTCAAATGGAGAGTCCAAACATCTGCCAGTCGTTGTCGTCTCCGACAGTTGAACCCATCTGTCATCTCCCGGAGCGTAGGCTTCTGTTGCTGGGGGGACCAGGAGCTGGGAAGAGCACCACAGGGAATGCCATCCTAGGTGAGGTGGTCTTCCAGACTGGGACAGAGACTGTCCACAGCACCGCCATGGGGGGGTCTGCGGGAGGCGGATCACTGTGGTTGACACCCCAGGCTGGATTATACCCCGTGACTCAGCGGATGATGCCACCGGGGCCCCGACAGAGCGGGCTAGCGAGGAGGGACCCTGTGTCGGTGCCACCCTCTGTCCCCCAGGACCCCACGCGCTCCTGCTGGTGGTCCCTGTGTCACAGCCCTTCACAGAGGGTCACAGTAAGGCAGCAGAGAAGCAGCTGGGTCATTTAGGAGGAGGGGCCTGGAGGTCCACCATGGTGCTCTTCACTGGGATCGACCAGCTACCTGAGGGGACGTTCGTGGAGGAGTTCATCGCAGCTGGGGAGCCCCTTCAGTGGCTGGTGGAGAGGTGTGGTAACAGATACCATGGCCTGGATAGTAACACACAGCAGAGAGGGGATGACAACACAGTGAACACACAAGTTCAGGAGCTACTGGAGAAGGTAGAGGAGCAGCTTAAGGACAACCATGGCTGGTATTTTGCAGTGAACGAACTGATTCTGCTAGAGGAGGAGCAGGCAAGGAAGGCGGTGGAAGAGAGGCGGGTGAGAGAGGAACGGGAGGAGAAGGAGAGGCAGAGGCTGCGGATGGTCGGAGGGCCTCCCAGAGGTGACCAACTCTTATTGCTTCACTCTTAGAAGAAAGGGTTTCAAAAGGGTTCTTTGGCTGTCCCCATGGGAGAACATTTGAAGAACCCTTTTGAGTTCCAGGTAGGTAGAACGCTTTAGGATTCCATGTAGAACCCTCTGTGGAAAGGGTTTTACATGGAACCCCAAAAGGGTTATACAGTGAGGGAAAAAAGTATTTGATCCCCTGCTGATTTTGTACGTTTACCCACTGACAAAGACATGATCAGTCTATAAATTTAATGGTAGGTTTATTTGAACAGTGAGAGACGGAATAACAACAAAAAAATCCAGAAAAAACGCATGTCAATAGTGTTATAAATTGATTTGCATTTTAATGAGGGAAATAAGTATTTGACCCCTCTGCAAAACATGACCTAGTACTTGGTGGAAAAACCCTTCACAGAGGTCAGACGTTTCTTGTAGTTGGCCACCAGGTTTGCACACATCTCAGGAGGAATTTTGTCCCACTCCTCTTTGCAGATCTTCTCCAAGTCATTAAGGTTTCGAGGCTGGCGTTTGGCAACTCAAACCTTCAGCTCCCTCCACAGATTTTCTATGGGATTAAGGTCTGGAGACTGGCTAGGCCACTCCAGGACCTTAATGTGCTTCTTCTTGAGCCACTCCTTTGTTGCCTTGGCCGTGTGTTTTGGGTCACTGTCATGCTGGAATACCCATCCACGACCCATTTTCAATGCCCTGGCTGAGGGAAGGAGGTTCTCACCCAAGATTTGATGGTACATGGCCCCGCCCATCGTCCCTTTGATGCGGTGAAGTTGTCCTGTCCCCTTAGCAGAAAAACACCCCCAAAGCATAATGTTTCCACCTCCATGTTTCACGGTGGGGATGGTGTTCTTTGGGTCATAGGCAGCATTCCTCCTCCTCCAAACACGGCGAGTTGAGTTGATGCGAAAGAGCTTGATTTTGGTCTCATCTGACCACAACACTTTCACCCAGTTCTCCTCTGAATCATTCAGATGTTCATTGGCAAACTTCAGACGGGCCTGTATATGTGCTTTCTTGAGCAGGGGGACCTTGCGGGCGCTGCAGGATTTCAGTCTTTCACGGCGTAGTGTGTTACCAATTGTTTTCTTGGTGACTATGGTCCCAGCTGCCTTGAGGTCATTGACAAGATCCTCCCGTGTAGTTCTGGGCTGATTCCTCACCGTTCTCATGATCATTGCAACTCCAGGCTGAGGGAGATTGACAGTTCTTTTGTGTTTCTTCCATTTGCGAATAATCGCACCAACTGTTGTCACCTTCTCACCAAGCTGCTTGGCGATGGTCTTGTAGCCCATTCCAGCCTTGTGTAGGTCTACAATCTAGTCCCTGACATCCTTGGAGAGCTCTTTGGTCTTGGCCATGGTGGAGAGTTTGGAATCTGATTGATTGCTTCTGTGGACAGGTGTCTTTTATACAGGTAACAAGCTGAGATTAGGAGCACTCCCTTTAAGAGTGTGCTCCTAATCTCAGCTCGTTACCTGTATAAAAGACACCTGGGAGCCAGAAATCTTTCTGATTGAGAGGGAGTCAAATAGCTATTTCCCTCATTAAAATGCAAATCAATTTATAACATTTTTGACATGGGTTTTTCTGGATTTTTTGTTGTTATTCTGTCTCTCACTCTTCAAATAAACCTACCATTAAAATTATAGACTGATCATTTCTTTGTCAGTTGGCAAACGTACAAAATCGAATACAACAGGTGGAGACCTTACTGTGAAATGCTTACTTACAAGCCCTTAACCAACAATGCAGTTTTAAGGAAATAGAGTTAAGAAAATATTTAGTAAATAAACTAAAGTAAAAAAATATATATAATAACACAATAAAATAACAATAACGAGGCTATATACAGGGGGTACCGGTACTGAGTCAATGTGCGGGGGTACAGGTTAGTCGAGGCAATTTGTACATTTAGGTAGGGTATACCTGGAGTATACCTGGAACCCAAAAGGGTTTCTTCAAAGGGTTTGTAACAACGGTTAACGTAATAACACTGGTTAACGTTGTTACAGGGTTCTCCCATGGGGACACCCGAATAACCTTTTTAAATATAACCTTATTTTCTAAGAGTTTTGTATACTTGGCATAATAGTTCATAAAGGTTTGTGCAAATAGCATACATGTTATAAAGCTTTCTAGCTCTCCCTGTCTCTCCCAGAGCTGAGGGTCCTCCTGCTGGGCTGGAAAGGAGTGGGAAAAAGTTATTTAGGGAACACCATCCTGGGCCGGCGGGACTTTGAGTCGGGGACAGAGATGGAGCAGAGCCTTAGGAGGCAGGCCGAGGTGGCCGGACGCAGGGTCACCATAGTAGACACCCCCGGCTGGGACTGGTTCTCCGTCAGACGCACCCCCAAACACGTCAGACAGGAGTCGAAGCGAGGGGCCACCCTCCTCCGGCCTGGCCCCCACACCCTTCTCCTGGTGCTGCCCATCATCTCCACCCTCACTGCACGCAAGAGGCGGACCCTGGAGGCCCACCTGGAGGGCCTGTTTGGTGATAGGGCGTGTCTCCACACTATGGTGCTGTTTAGCTGCGGGGATTGGCTGGGCCGCATGCCCGTCGAGGAGCACATTCAGAGGGGAGGGCGGGAGCTCCACAGGTTGTTGGAATACTGTGGGAACTATTATCACGTGGTGGACAGCAAGATGCCGGGGAAGGACACAAGGAACATCTCAGATCTGCTGGACAAAATAGAGGAAATGATCAGAGAGAATGGCGATGAGGCCTTCTTACCAATACAGAGTGAGTATATGGTAAATGATACTGAACCTCTCTCTTTTTTCCCCTGCTGTCATTAATGGACTTCTGGATGAAGTTCATGTATGTTGTTATGATTGTTTTTGTGAAGCATTTTTTGTTATACAGTATATATTGAGGGAGTGATAGAACCTGCTGCAAAGACCTACTGTAGCCTACCTTCTAGACATTTACAATATGGTTTCTTCATTCCCTCCTACCTTCCCTCAACAACACTACTCCACCTTCATTAGGGTTGCAAAATTCCAGTACATTTCCTCAGTTTCCAGAAATCCTGGTTGGAGGATTCCCAGATTTCCAGCATATATCTGGGAGATTTGTGGAATCTTCCAACCAGGATTTCTGGGAAACCTGGGAACTTTTGGGGAAAACTTTTATGCAAACCCCAAAGCAAATGGAGACATTTACCATAACTGCAGAGATATGGAGTGTCTTGCCCTTTTAATTATGGATTGTGGTGCCGTCTGTAGATTATGGAGTGTTTTGCCATCTGTTAGCTTTCAGCCAAACTGTGAAAGTTCACCGAAAGTGAAATTTAGGCGTTCATTCTGAGTGGTTAAGGTTAAAGGGCAATTCGACCACTTTTCAACCTCATTTTCATTATCTCCAGCACAATACCAGTGTCCACATATGTGAACATTTTGTAGAAAAAAATATCAAGTTACAAAGTTCTACCTGTTGACATCATCAAAAGTTAAAACATTTTAAAAACGCTTTTAAAATGATTTGTGATGACGCGAGGAGCAAGAAAATACCCTCCCCCTGACTGGAAACTCATGGCAGGTTTTGAAAATCATTGTTTATCTCAATTTTAATCCTACCATGTGATGTCACAGAGAAGCATTTTTCCCCCACTTTTTATTCGTATCTTTTTAACCACAGATCATAGAAACACGCCGTTCTCGCATACAGTGCATTCGGAAAGTATTCAGAACCCTTGACTTTTTCCACATTTTAATACGTTAAAGCCTTATTCTAAAATGGATGAAATCGTTTTTCCCCTCATCAATCTACACACAGTACCACATAATGACAAAGCAAAAACAGTTTAGACATTTTTGAGAATCTATTACAAATAAAAAAGTCATATCACATTTACATAAGTATTCAGACCCTTTACTCAGTACTTTGTCGAAGCACCTTTGGCAGCGATTACAGCTTAGAGTCTTCTTGGGTATGACGCTACAAGCTTGGCACACCTGTATTTGGGGAGTTTCTCCCATTCTTCTCTGCAGTTCCTCTCAAGCTTTGTCAGGTTGGATGGGGAGCGTCGCTGCACTCCAGGGATGTTCGATCGGGTTCAAGTCCGGGCTCTTTTATCAAATAATGTTTTTGTTTTTTTAATCTATGTCCTAAAATTCTAAATCAAATAGCTAAATGATCCATGGTATGACCATCTTAAAACAACTCCATATGCTTAGAGTCTTCTTGGGTATGACGCTACAAGCTTGGCACACCTGTATTTGGGGAGTTTCTCCCATTCTTCTCTGCAGTTCCTCTCAAGCTTTGTCAGGTTGGATGGGGAGCGTCGCTGCACTCCAGGGATGTTCGATCGGGTTCAAGTCCGGGCTCTTTTATCAAATAATGTTTTTGTTTTTTTAATCTATGTCCTAAAATTCTAAATCAAATAGCTAAATGATCCATGGTATGACCATCTTAAAACAACTCCATATGTTAGCTTAGTACCCCCCCCCCCCCCCCCCCCCCCCCCCCCCGCCCCCCCGCCCCCAGAGGATACGTTTTGAGATAAATTGGGTTATTTTGTGTTTGACAGTGGATGAAGACAGCCCTGGGTCATCTGAGAACAACAACCCTGAAGAGGACTGTAGCAGAGGATGCCAGCTCCAGTAGTGCCAAGGGAGAAAGTAGCCAAGAGCACATGCTTACACACTGTAAGATGGACACGTTCCCACCGCCCAAGCCAAAACATTTACATTTCAAAGTGGCCTGGTGTAGAATTACACTGGAAATGAAATGAAAGAACACATACAATGGCTTCAGAAAGTATTCACACCCCTTGACTTTTTCAAAAAATGGAATAAGTCAAGGGGTGTGAATACTTTCTGAAGGCACTGTACATGTACTCAAGGTAGTTGGGTCATTCTTGAATTGCTGTGGCATTTGCACCCCTCGCCTTTGTAACCATGAAAAACACTAAAAAGGACAAATTGTTACACATCATTCATGTTTTTGTTTATATTGAACTGCTTATCAATGATAAAACATAATGCAAGTCCTTTATACTGCAAAACTGTATGCAGTACTTAGGGCAAGCACATTGACCCAGTAGAGTTGTAGTGACATATTTTGGGCATTTAGAGAGATCTATTATTTTGAATGCTAGAAAGTAAAGAAAATATATTATATAGTTCAATGAAAACAAAGAAGGCTATTAAAGGAGGAAAATAATGTACAGTACCAGTCAAAAGTTTGGACAAACCTACTCATTCAAGGGTTTTGCTTTATTTTTACTATTTTCTACATTGTAGAATAATAGTGAAGACATCAAAACTATGAAATGTAGTAACCAAAAAAGTGTTAAACAAATCCAAATATATTTGAGATTTGAGATTCTTCAAATAGCCACCCTTTTCCTTGATGACAGCTTTGCACACTCTTGGCATTCTCTCAACCAGCTTCACCTGGAATGCTTTTCCAACAGTCTTGAAGGAGTTCCCACATATGCTGAGCACTTGTTGGCTGCTTTTCCTTCACTCTGCCGTCCGACTCATCGCAAACCATCTCAATTGGGTTGAGGTCGGGGGTTGTGGAGGCCAGGTCATCTGATGCAGAACCCCATCACTCTCCTTCTTGGTAAAATAGCCCTTACACAGCCTGGAGGTGTGTTGGGTCGTTGTCCTGTTGAAAAACAAATGATAGTCTCACTAAGCCCAAAACAGATGGAATGGCATATCGCTGCAGAACGCTGTGGTAGCCATGCTGGTTAAGTGTGCCTTGAATTCTAAATAAATCACTGACAGTGTCACCAGCAAAGCACCCCCACACCATAACACCTCCTCCTCAATGCTTTATGGTGGGAAATACACATGCGGAGATCCGTTCACCCACGCCATGTCTAACAAAGCCATGGTGGTTGGAACCAAAAATCTCCAATTTGGACTCCAGACCAAAGAACAAATTTCCACCGGTTTAATGTCCATTGCTCGTGTTTTCTTGGCCCAAGTAAGTCTCCTCTTATTGGTGTCCTTTAGTAGTGTTTTCATTGCAGCAATTTGACCTTGAAGGCCTGATTCACACAGTCCCCTCTGAACAGTTGATGTTGAGATGTGTCTGTTACTTGAACTCTGTGAAGCATTTATTTGGGCTGCAATTTCTGAGTCTGGTAACTCTAATGAACTTACTTACAAAGTTCTTGAAATGTTCCTTATTGACTGACCTTCATGTCTTAAAGTAATGATGGAGCTGTTCTTGCCATAATATGGACTTGGTATTTTACAATTTTTGTCTATCTTCTGTATATCACCCCTACCTTGTCACAACACAACTGATTGGCTCAAACGCATTAAGGAGGAAAGAAATTCCACAAATGAACTCTTAAAAAGGCACACCTGTTAGTTGAAATGCATTCCAGGTGACTACCTCATGAAGCTAGTTGAGAGAAAGCCAAGAGTGTGAAAAGCTGTCATCAAGGCAAAGGGTGGCTATTTGAAGAATCTCAAATAGAAAATATAATTTTATTGTATTAACACTCTTTTGGTTACTACATGATTACATATGTGTTATTTCATAATATGTCTTCACTATTATGCTACAATGTAGAAAATAGTAAAAATAAAGAAAAACCCTTGAATGAGTAGATGTGTCCAAAGTTTGACTGGTAGTGTATATAATAAAAATATAAATCTACCAAAAAATATATGGGGGATTGGAAATTATGCAGATAATTACATTGATAGAAGCCACAATCTGTCTACAATATTAAAGCTGATCTACCCCCCAAAAAAAGAAAAAACACGTTTCCATTTTCAATCGCTTGTTATCATACTACCGTCTGGCTAAATCAGTGTATTTTTGTAAATACCAGATCTTTATGGCAAGACGCATCATTGACCCAAGTTGTCAAAATCGGTCCAATGGTGTCTGAGATATCGCGTGTGACATACGTACTTACTTTACATTCGTACTGTACGTACATACGTACTTACGGACGGAGACAGATCCATAGTCCCCTCCCTGATTTAATCGTGGCGGACAACAAGGACCTTGAGTATTCCCTCCAGTGGCAAATCTCCCTTATGAAAATGATTAGCTAATCACACCCTTTTCCTATCAATTTGAGGATTCCTTTCATATTTTGGTGTGTCATTGGTGTTAAAAAAAAGTAATCATTTTAATTGCAGTTGCTATCACTGACTTTGCTGATAACTACTTTATTGAGGAAAAATGTACTTACTATGACTATGTTATGGGGTTGCCTCACCTGATGTGGTTGCCTCAATTGAAATGTAAAATGAAGGGCAATTACATTGCTAGCAAAATTATTCATCATATCACTTTAGTAAATCATTTTTAAAGGGTTAAAGACTTAATATTTGACCGTCTGTGGCCTCCATTTAAGAAAATCCTAATTTACCTAAAATGTGTCATTGGTGTTACCGTCATTGGTGTTACTACTCCTACTGGTGACACAATGTTATCATAATGGTATAAATGATTTAAAGTCATTAAACTGCCATATTAGTTGATTTGAAATGGGAAGATGTACCCAAATACATTTCAATAATTACAATCTAGAGAATGGACGTTTCCAAAATCCCCAAATGCCACTGCAATTCAAGAACAACCCAGTTGTCATTGTTTCCTTCAAGGAGTTATGGTAATTACAAATGCAACTACGCATTATGAATACATTGTCTTATAAATGCATGTGTGCTGGGCATCCTAAAGATAAAAGGGCACTCTTAAAATAATAACATCAATCATATAATTTTACCAGGCTTTGGTTTGTGTCTTTAAAACAATACTAATCTGGAATGTATTAAGGGATATTATGTGAGACAGCACTGCCGTGTATTATTGAAATCTAACATTAACTTTTTATTTGAAATATCGCAACTCAGACACTTCTAATGCTTTACTGACTGTTTCATCTAGTAGTGCATTGCAGTACACATACTTAAAAATACATGCACATGATATTATTTGAATGTTCAATTGCACTGAAATTCATGGAAACAACATGTACATTAAACATTTTGCACTGTATGTACTGTTTATTGTTACGATATGGGGTGGTTGTTTAGTGTTAGCACATAGTACAGGGGTAGGCCACTCTGTTCCTGGAGTGCCTCAGGTACTGCAGGATTGTATCCCAACTAGGCACCACACTGAGCTACTTAGTTAATTGATCAGTTTAGTGATTGCCTAAATTCAACACATCTGGTCCTCTAGGCCGGTTAAATCAAAAACAGGACCACGGTTGCCTAACCTTGACATAGTAGGTGGACAGCATACTACCACTACAACGCTCCATCCCCAAGTGGCAGCACCAACCGGGTCAGGTCTTGTGCTCTGCCAGGAAGCCTTGATAAGCACACAAGTGCGGGCAATTAAGTCAATCACTGAGAGAAAGGTGGCCACAAGCCTCTCGGCCTGGCAGTGTTTGTTTTGTGTTAGCTTTAGTTATGGGGCATGCCTCTTTGCACTTTTGTTTTTACATATATTTATTTTGGCCAACAAAGGGGTCAAGACGGAGCTGGCCCTGGACCCCGGTAAGTTTGCTGTGTCCTGGGCACATGTATACAACATGGTCCGCATACTCTAACTTCTCACATAAATGCACACTTAAAATCAGGTTACAGCCCATGTAGCTAGTCCTAGGACCCCTAAACATAGCAAGTGCAACAATATCAGTAGGGTAGCTAGCTGGTATCGTTACAATATCCCTTGTGTAGTGATATGTGTAATGAGTGTGTAGTCTTAAAACATTAGGGGCTGGTTTCCCAGACACAGATTAAGCCTAGTACTTGGACTATTGCATGCTCAATGAAGAAACAGAAAACCATTGTAACTTCAGTCCAGTCCTGCTCCAGCCAATCCCCACTCTGTCTGCAGCAACATTTTATTTTCTGTGTGGGAGCAGCTCCCTAATATGCTTCATCTGAATAATAAATCACTTTCCAGAGAAGAGCTGCACTGTGTTGACATCCCGCCTGCATTGCACACAATCTGTTCTCTTTAAGGCTGAATATTAAGAAATACAAGAGTTTTCCGGGAATGTGAGGGCAAGGTCGACCGAAAGACCACAAGAGAGGGAGGAAGAAAGAGGAAGGGAGAGCGAGAGGGAAGGAGTCAGAGAGGGATGGGATAGAGTAAAATGTTTTGCGATAGAATGAGAGAGCCAAGAAGACGAGAACCTATTTGACTGCCAGCATCTTGTGGAGCTCTCTCTGTATACACAGACTGAGACTATCCCCTGAAGGACTGTGAGTAGAAGGGAGGTGGGAAGTGAGAAAGAAAACAACGAGGCTAAAGTCAAAATGGCTACAGTCTTCTCTGGCTGTCACGCCCTGACTCTGGGGACTCTTATTTGTTGAGTCAGGGTGTGATTTTCTATGTTGTGTTGTTCTATGTTATAGGTTCTTGTATGGGTATTTCTATGTTGGCCGGTGTGGTTCCCAATCAGAGGCAGCTGTCACTCGTTGTCTCTGATTGGGGACCATACTTAGGCAGCCTATTGGCACTAGTGGGTTGTGGGATCTTGTTCCGTGTGAGGTATGTTGTTGGTGTACCTTGGGCTTCACGTTTCGTTTGTTGTTTTGTTGTTGTATTTATAAGTCAAATAAACATGTATGCATATCACGCTGCGCCTTGGTCTGACCCGTCGATGAACGAGCGTGACACTGGCTCTTAATCTGGTACCCGTAATTGAGTTTAGTTTCTGAATGTCAGGTATCCATCCGCACTCCTTCCCAGCATCTGCTGTCAACTTTATCACAGCATAGAGACTAAAACAGGAAACGAACTGTCCCTTTTGCTTGACTACCTTCCTGCTGTGGAAAGCACAAAGAAGAGTCAAAACAGCAGTCAGTGGTTGTTGTTGTCGTCGGCTTCGACAAGAGAACCCATCTGTCATCTCCTGGAGTGCCGGCTCCAGTTGCTGGGGGGGACCAGGAGCTGAGAATCGAACTACAGGGAATGCCATCCTAGGTGAGGAGGTCTTCCAGACTGGGACAGCGCCGTTGGCCACGGAGAAGTCTGCGGAAGGCGGATCACCGTAGTTGACACCCCACCCTGGATTACACCCTGTGACTCAGCAGATAATGCTACCGGGGCCCCACCAAGAGCGGGTGAGCGAGGAGGGACTGTGTGTCGTTGCCACACTCTGTCACCCAGGGCCCCACGCACTTCTACTGGTGGTCCCTGTGTCGCAGCCCTTCAGACAGCAGAGAAGCAGATAGGTCATCTAGGTGGAGGGGCCTGGAAGCATCACGGCTAATGGGAAGTCCCTGGTGGAGAGGTGTGGTAACAGATACCATGGCCTGGATAGTAACACACAGCAGAGTGGGGATGACAACACAGTGAACACACAAGTTCAGGAGCTGCTGGAGAAGGTAGAGGAGCTGTTTAAGTACAACCATGGCTGGTATTTTGCAGATGGAGTAGGAGCAAGCAAGGAGGGCAGTTGAGGAGAGGAGGGTGAGGGAGGAGATGCAGAGGCTCCGGAAGATCTTTGCGCTTCCCAGAGATGAGCAGCTGCAATTGCTTGTATACCTGCCATAATAGTTCAAGCAAATACAGTGCAGTTATAAAGCTTTTTCCTCTTGCTGTGCTGGAAAGGAGTGGGAAAAAGTTATGTCAGGAACACCATCCTGGGTCAGAGGGCCTTTGAGTCGGGGACAGAGATGGAGCAGAGCCTGAGGAGGTAGGCTGAGGTGGTCGGACGCAAGGTCACCATAGTAGACACCCCCGACTGGGACTGGTTTTCTGTAAGGCGCACAATGAAGAGGGTCAGGTGGGAGACGAAGCCCTCTTCCAGCTCGGCCCCCATATATCCACCACAGGTTCTAGGATGGGGTCAAGAGACCTGAACTGGGTACCGGTATGGAAAACACACAACACGGGATTATCGAAAATATAGTTTCATTACAAAGATCTCATGTAAAAATGTACAAACAGGGTTGTACTTTGTGGGCTTGGAATCGCACCAAAAAGGCAAGTTACGGTGTGTCTCAGTCTTCAGCACAAAACGTCTACTGCAATAGTTTAGTGGTTCCATACAATGTTCAAGTCTTGAAAGTATCTTAGTCAGCACAGCAAACAGGTGGAAAACACAGCAAACCAGATCCTAGTGTAAAACACAGCAAAGGACACACTATATTCAATAAGGATTTAAATATCAAAAGGTCTTCAGACTAAAATGCACATGCAATAAATAGGCAAGACCCTTAAAATGTAGTAATAGATACAAAACACAAGAATTACCTCGCTGGCTGTCTCCAAGTATACACAGCCAAACACAAGTGTACTCCGGATACTTGCAGCTAACACAGAGACTGTATAGAAGATGTCCTCTATGAATGGAAATTTGCAAGCTACCATAGGTCTAGTGTGGTACTTGGACACAGCAACAGCTCCATCCCAGTCTTTCCCTTCTGCCACTCCAGGAAACGCACCACCATTTTGTAGGAACAGGTGGAGGTGCTTTCTGCTGAGTCACTTCTGCCACCAATCAAAACACTCAAACAATTCATTCAAATAGACCAATAGGAAAGCATATACAATTCACATGACAACCGTAATTACTCAAATAGAGGCACCTTCACCCTGTTACACCCACACCATCATCCTGGTGCTGCCCTTGGTCACCGACCTCACTGACCTCAAGAGGCATGGTTCCACACCATGGTGCTGTTCACCTGCGGGACTTGGCAGAGCCGCATAGCCGTCGAGGAGTACATTCAGAGGGGAGGTCTTGAGCTGCGCAGGTTGGATCTGCTGGACAAAATAGAGGAAATGATCAGACTGAATGGTTATGAGGCCTTCTTGCCCATACACCGAGATTATGGTGAGTAGATGATACTGAACTGCTCTCCTTTGTCTATGCCTCAGACTGATAACTGATAACATGATTGTTCTGATCCAATGTTTTTGTCAGCATTTGTGGTTGATATTTAGTTCCAAACAGTACCTTACCCTTTCTGGCTTTGTGTTGATATACCTCAACCTCCCCCACCACCACCACCCTAAAATGTGTATGAGGTCATCAGTATGCTCTGCCTGATAGGATTATTTTGTGTTTCACAGAGGAGGACGACTGCACTGGCGTTGTGGACAAACACTGTTGCAGTGCAATTGGCTGTAGTTGTTTCATTTGTGGGATGGTTTTGCAATCATTTTACTATAAAGTATGTTTTATTGTCACATACACAAGATAGGTGCAGTAAAATGTGTTGTTTTACAGGTTCAGCCATAGTAGTACGGCACCCCTGATTGGACATGATTTGGAAAGGCACACACCTGTCTATATAAGGTCCCACAGTTGACAGTGCATGTCAAAGCAAAAACCAAGCCATGAGGTCGAAGGAATTGCCTGTAGAGCTCAGAGACAGGAGTGTGTCAAAACATTTCTGCAGCATTGAAGGTCCCCAAGAACACAGTGGCCTCCATCATTCTTAAATAGAAGAAGTTTGGAACCACCAAGACACTTCCTAGAGCTGGCCGCCTGGCCAAACTGAGCAATCAGGGGAGAAGGGCCTTGGTCAGGGAGGTGATCAAGAACCCGATGGTCACTCTGACAGAGCTCCAGAGTTCCTCTGTGGAGATGGGAGATCCTTCCAAAAGGACAACCATCTCTGCAGTACTCCACCAATCAGGCCTTTATGGTAGAGTGGCCAGACAGAAGCCACTCCTCACTAAAAGGCACATGACAGCCCCCTAGGAGTTTCCAAAAGGCACCTAAAGGACTCAGACCATGAGAAACAAGATTCTCTGGTCTGATGAAACCAAGATTGGAACTCTTTGGCCTGAATGCCAAGCGTCACGTCTGGAGGAAACCTGGCACCATCCCTACGGTGAAGCATGGTGGTGGCAGCATCATGCTGTGGGGTTGTTTTTCAGCGACAGGGACTGGGAGACTAGTCAGGATCGAGGGAAAGATGAACGGAGCAAAGTACAGAGAGATCCTTGATGAAAACCTGCTCCAGAGCGCTCAGGACCTCAGACTGGGGGCGAAGGTTCACCTTCCAACAGGACAACAACCCTAAGCACCCAGCCAAGACAACGCAGGAGTGGCATCGGAACAAGTCTCTGAATGTCCCCCAGTGGCCCAGCCAGAGCCCAGACTTGAACCCGATCTAACATCTCTGGAGAGACCTGAAAACAGCTGTGCAGCGATGCTCCCCATCCAACCTGACCAAGCTTGAGAGGATCTGCAGAGAAGAATGGGAGAAACTCCCCAAATACAGGTGTGCCAAGCTTGTAGCTTCATACCCAAGGAGACTCGAGGCTGTAATCGCTGCCAAAGGTGCTTCAGCAAAGTACTGAGTAAAGGGTCTGAATACTTATGTAAATGTGATATTTAAGTTTTTAATTTACAACAAATTAGCAACATTTTCTAAACTTGTTTTTGATTTGTCATTATGGGGTATTGTGTGTAGATTGATGATGGGAAAAACAATTTAATCAATTTTTGAATAAGACTGTAACGTAACAAAATGTGAAAAAAGTGAAGGTCTGAATACTTTCCGAAGGCACTGTATATATTTTTGGATAAAATATAGAATTGGGCTTTTACTACTATAGCCTAGAGAGATGCATTGAATAACATTTTCATAAATGGCAAAAAAGACAGTCAAAAAATGAAGTCCTGTCCTATGTCTAGGAGATATAAGAAAGCTTAGAAAATATACACTACCAGTCAAAGGAGTGGACACACCTACTCATTCCAGGGTTTTTCTTTATTTTTTATTTTTTTTACATTGTAGTATAATAGTGAAGACATCAAAACTATGAAATAACACATATGGAATCATGTAGTAACCAAAAAAGTGTTAAACAAATCAAAATATATTTTATATTTGAGATTCTTCAAATAGCCACCCTTTGCCTTGATGACAGCTTTGCACACTCTTGGCATTCTCTCAACCAGCTTCATGAGGTAGTCACCTGGAATGGATTTCAGTTAACAGGTGTGCCTTATTAAAAGTTAATTTGTGGAATTTCTTTCCTTCTTAATGCGTTTGAGGTGGTATACAGAAGATAGCCCTATTTGGTAAAATACCAAGTCCATATGATGACAAGAACAGCTCAGCTGTTGCGTTTTATATTTTTGTTCAGTGTAGTTTAGGTCAAACCATTTGGACGCTACAGACGCTACAGACCTTGTCTTGAAGACCGATTTTCAGGATGTCTGATGGTCTGACAAACACTGCTCTAGCTCTGCCACCTTTCACAACAGATGCAGAAGTGCGACATCGGCGGATGCAGTGGATTGAGAACACGACTTTGAATAGAACCATGAGGAAACCTGCAGAAAACGTTATGCTGAAGTACTGAAATTCCCACAAATAAACGCTGTTTCTTAAGGTTCTCTGAAAGTTCTGAGAACATACAGTTGAAGTTGGAAGTTCACGTACACCTTAGCCAAATACATTTAAACTCAGTTTTTCACAATTCCTGACATTTAATCCTAGTAAAAATTCCCTGTTTTAGGTCAGTTAGGATCACCACTTTACTTTAAGAATGTGAAATGTCAGAATAATAGTAGAGAGAATTATTTATTTCAGCTTTTGTGGGTTCCCAGTGGGTCAGAAGTTTACATACACTCAATTAGTATTTGGTAGCATTGCCTTTAAATGGTTTAACTTGGGTCAAACGTTTTGGGTAGCCTTCCACAAGCTTCCCACAATAAGTTGGGTGAATTCTGGCTCATTCCTCCTGACAGAGCTGGTGTAACTGAGTCAGGTTTGTAGGCCTCCTTGCTCGCACACGCTTTTTCAGTTCTGCCCACACATTTTCTATAGGATTGAGGTCAGGGCTTTGTGATGGCCACCAATACCTTGACTTTGTTGTCCTTAAGCCATTTTGCCACAACTTTGGAAGTATGCTTGGGGTCATTGTCCATTTGGAAGACCCATTTGCGACCAAGCTTTAACTTCCTGACTGATGTCTTGAGATGTTGCTTCAATATATCCACATAATTTTCCTTCCTCATGATGCCATCTATTTTGTGAAGTGCATCAGTCCCTCCTGCAGCAAAGTACCGCCACAGTATGATGCTGCCACCCCCATGCTTCATGGTTGGGATGGTGTTCTTCAGCTTTCAAGCTACCCCCTTTTCCCTCCAAACATAACGATGATCATTATGGCCAAACAGTTCTATTTTTGTTTCATCAGACCAGAGGACATTTCTCCATAAAGTACGATCTTTGTCCCCATGTGCAGTTGCAAAACGTAGTCTGGCTTTTTCATGGCGGTTTTGGAGCAGTGGCTTCTTCCTTGCTGAGCAGCCTTTCAGGTTATGTCGATATAGGACTTGTTTTACTGTGGATTTAGATACCTTTGTACCTGTTTCCTCCAGCATCTTCACAAGGTCCTTTGCTGTTGTTTTGGGATTGATTTGCACTTTTCGCACCAAAGTACATTCATCTCTAGGAGACAGAACGCGTCTCCTTCCTGAGTGGTATGA